GAAGCTTTAAGCACAACATAATAATTCCCCTTATCTCTGGCAGCAGTTCCTTCTCCTCACCTGGAAAATTCCTATTTTCTAGTTCTTCCCTCCCAGGTGAGCACCACACGTAACTCTACACAGGACACCTCCCTGCCCACACTGATGGCTGAACACCGTGGGGCTGGCATCGGGAAAGAAACTGAATTCAGCTCAACTCAAGTTGGGTTAAATGCTCTCATAGTAACAAACCCCATCAGTCTGGGACTTTGAACCATCTTGTGTTGCATTTCCACTGCCCCAGGCTCTGCAGGAGCGTGACCCAAGGCTGAGCTCATGGCTTTTGCAGCACCAGTATTAATAAGCAAATTTATTTCCCTGAGCTCTGAGAAGTTTGTGAAAATATTTGTTTTTCTCACCTCTCACCATATACAAAGGTTTTAATAAGCTTTAACAAACATACAAGCAAACAAACCCTTAATTAAAATAAATAATTTAAACTTCTAACCTGAAGGCTTCTATGAAACTTTGACAATCCCCAAACGCTCAGGTGATGATGGGAGAAAATATAACTGGGATAAAGGACAGTGCAGGAACATCCCATCACAGTGGTGGAGGACCAGTGGGGATGCTGCAATTTCCTCTCTCCCCAGTTAGGAGTGCATTTTATCTTTTTTTTGGGTATAATTTTTGCTGTAAACACACCTTGCATGTAACTGTTCCTCTGCAGGTTCTTCAAACAGTGGGTCACACGTTTTGAGTGATGGTTTTATTCTTTTATTCAACTGTCATTGGTACTGGTTATTTGGGGTGTCCAAACCAAAATATTAAAATTGCAAGCTAAGAGAGCAGCAACACAGCACATCCGTTGTAAACAATTTATTATTATTTTCTACCTCAGTTACTTACAGGAAAAAAGTCATAAAAAAGAAAAAAAAGAAAAAAAAAGAAAAAAAAAAAAAGAAAAGCACAGATGGACTATTTACAAAAAATGAGAAAATTCACAATAGCCGAAATGTTTGCAAATCATGCACACTAAGACAAGTTCACAAAAGCAAAGCAATTCATAGCAAAAAACCCCAAACAAAATAATAAGAAGCCATACAGATTAAAAAAAAGCTATTGCCTGCAGAAAAGTCAAAAGAAAACTACCCAAGTATTACATCAAGCATCTTTAATGAAATGAACAGCACAGCCATGGATTGTAGAGCCTTTGACACTGACATTTTAAACAAGTGGATTAACAAACATTAAAATGCATTACAGTTCTACTGTAAGCATGCACCGTACTTCTCACAAACTTATCACGTGGGTAGCAACAGGAACAGCAGAATTTAAAGAGAATGTGTGTTTTCTACCCAAAAGTCCAGCATCTGGCCATGTTAAGTAAAGCCAGTGGATGGAGGTTTGCAGCTCTCCTGCCCCCCGGTGCAGATGAAGAGGCGCAGTGTGACGCAGCTTAAGCAGGGAAAGCTTGGCCACAATTTAGGAGATTTGCCCGTGATTTGCAAGCAAAGTTTGGAAGGAGAAGCAGCTGCAGGGAGCGTGCAGGACCATCGCTGGTCAGAGTTAGATCAAAGAATCAGAGAAACCCAGAACGGTTTGGGTTGGAAGGGACCTTAAAGCTCAGCCAGTGCCACCCCTGCCACGGGCAGGGACACCTCCCACGGTGCCAGGCTGCTCCAAGCCCCGCTGGCTCTGGGAGCAGGGCAGGAATTGCTGTGGGGGCAGCAGCTGCCTGAGCCCCTCTCTGGGTGGCACCTCACCATGGTGATGCTGGCAGCCCCCAAAGAGCCCCAGGCCAGGGAATGGGGCAGTGTGTGACACACGGGTCCCACGGCTGCGCTGCCACGGGGACAGGGGACACCCGTCAGGGTGGGATTTGTGCCACTGCTGGGTGGCACCACGTTAAAAAGCGCCAGTCACTCTCTCTGGGGCTGTCTGTGGGACCAAATCAACCCAATCATCCTCCTCGCTGCGTTGGTAAAACGGTTTTCTAAAAAGTTTGTGAGAAGTCATGCCTTCGGAACGCCCCGACCCCATCCTTGTGAGTTACATTCCAAGTGGGCATTAAAAACTCATAACAAAGCAGAGAAAAAAAAAAATTAAAAAAATAAAATAAAGCAAACTCAAAGCAGTGAGGATATGGAGCCTTTAAAAAAAATAAAAATAAAATAAAAAGTCCAGTCAATCAAACCAGCCAGTAAGAGCAGCAATTTTTCAGTGGACATTGATATTAAACATGGACCACCCAGGCTTTCTCTGTCTCTCTCTCATTAGCACTGTAGTAAACCCCGATTAATTTGTTATGCATCTTTAAGAACTAGTTGATAAAAATTATGTCTTGTGAAATCGGCAAATAGTCTGCAAAGTGAAATAAGAACAGAAATTAATAGATTAAACTGAAAAGATAAGTCCCAGAAATAAAAAAAAAAAAAATAAAAAAAAGGGGGTATTGAAATAAAAAAAAAAAAAAAAAAAAAAAAAAAAAGAGGCAATGTACTGCATGAGGAAGGGCTGGGAGGAATAATGGGACAGGAGGAGATAGAGCAGTTGCCAAAGGGTTGTGTGCCTTGCCCCTGGAGCCAGGGGCTGTCCCATGCCATGGGCAAGGCTGCAGATGTGGGAGAGGACATGGACAGCCCCCAAGGGACAGGGACAAGGGAAGGGAATGCAGATAGGTGGGTGATGGCAGAACTCCTGGGAGCAGCCCAGAACGTTTTTCTGTGACTGAAGGCTGTTCTGTGTATTTGCACTGAGGCTGCAGCAGCAGGGCACCCAGGGCAGGAGGCACGGGAGGCTCTCGGACGCTCCTGCGCAACCAGCCGAGTACTCCTCCCTCCAAACCACAGCACTGAGGTTTTACACCTGACACCTTCCTCCTGCCCTGCTCCTGAAAGGCTCCCTGGAGCCCGGCTGTGCCCTGTGGCACTGGGCTCTCTGCCCCAAGCACTGCAGCAGCAGGGACACCCCGTCCTGCCGCTGCACCATTCCCGTGCCGCGCGCTCCGACGGGTTGTGATTCTGGAGACCAGAGCCCCAAACCACCTGAGAAACTCCCAACACCTCTGGAAAGCTTCTGCTTGCTGCTAAGGAGTAACTGATCCGAGTGGGAGGGGAGGGGGCAGAGCCTTGGGGCAGGGGAACTCAACAAGGTGAGACAGGGCCCTGAGCATCTCCTGCTCTCCTGCAGTGACCCACAGCTTTCTGCTGGGGACAACCCACCTGGATTTATTTTCCATATTCAATCTCTGCAGGAGACTGAAAATAACCAGGCAGTAACTGGAAGTCCTGCTTTGGTAAAAACAGGCCCTTAAAAAATACATCTAAGAAGGGGTCGAGTCAAAGGGTGCCTTTGCTGTCAGTGAGCGAACACGGCCGCTTTAGACATGTTTATAATTAAACTCATCTAACCTCTGCAGATTTCTGGCATTAAACCTATCAAAGGAGTCTCTCCTTCAATGCCTTCGTACGAATCAGCTGGCACATGGAATTGTGAGGAGTCAGAGCCTGAGACAACACACAAACAGCTGCTGAAGCCTCCTCCTCACCTCCAACTCCTGGCTGCAATCCTGCCAGACCAGCCTGTCCCTCTGGTTCCAGCAGAACCACAGGTGGTGTCACCTGGATCTGGGGGCAGCTGCCTTGTCCCCACCAGCACCGTGTCACCCCAGCAGCTCTGCTGTCTGCCTGACACCCCAGTTGTTTCAGACCTGGCCTGGTCCAGGTGGGAAGATGTAGCACAGGTGGGAAGAGGCGGCTCAGCTTCCAGAAGAGCCGTGGCATTTGTGAATTCAAGTAAACAAACCCTCACAGGGCTGTTCCCCCCGGTCCTGCGAGAAACAGCCGCACAATAACCCCATCCCAAGGACACTGCTCATCCTACAGATGACAACAATCTGTATTTTTCCACAGCAGGGCCTCATCCTAATGAGCCAGGGCTGCACGCACAGCTCCACGTCTGTCCCAGCACGCTGCAGGTGTAGCCAAGCACTGCCCACATCCTCAGAAACCCTAGAGAACCTTCCTGTGAGCTGCTGGTTTCCCTCCTGCGCTCCCTGCTCACTGCAGGGGGTTCACTGTTGTCCCTGTCACCCCGAGCTCCCACCCCTGTGCTGTGAGCCCTGAGGAGCACATTGCCCTGGTGACCAGGCTGCTCAGGAATTCACGGTGGCCAGGTGGGCTTCGGCCACAAAGAGAGCAAAGGCACAGCTTCCCTTGTCCCAGCTGCCTGGGAAAGCCCTGGGGTGAAAGGAAACTCCATCCCACTGCGGGAGGGGCCGGGAGGGACACGTCTGGATGGGCTTTGTGGGATGCCCCATCCCTGGAAGTGCTCAAGGCCAGGCTGGCCAGGGCTCTCAGCAGCCTGACCGAGGGGAAGTGCCCTGCTCACTGCAGGGCTTGCACCTTTGGAGTCCCTTCCAGCCCCGACCATCCTGTCCTGTGCTTCTGGCACCTGATTCCCCCAGACCGAGCTGACCCCGAGGCCGGCACCACGCGCTGCCCACTGCTCCTGGGAGGGACCCCCAGAGCTGGGACCCCCAGAGCTGGGACCCCCAGAGGCAGCAGGGCACGCAGCAGGGTGGGATGTGCACTCAGCAGTGAGGTTCACTTACCACAGGCCAGCACGGGGGGGTCCCTGTGTGTGTGTCTGTGTGTAGCTCTACGGAAGGAAAAACCCATCAAAGGCAGGGGAACAGCTCTCCAGTGATCTCTCTTGCTTTTATGGTTTTTTTTTTTTTAATTTAAGAAGTTTGTTTTCAAATAACCAGTACCAATTTATACGTTAGGAAAAAAAAAAATGTGTTGAAAATATGTCGCTATAAAGGTCTATTTTAAAATAGTAAAAAAAATAAAAGAAAAAATTTGCTGTTGTGTGAGATGCTCCCTGCAGACTTGCCTGTCTCAGCTTGCAGCTACGGACTTCAAAAAAAAAAAAAAAAAAAGAAAAAACCCAAAAAAACAAAAGAAAAAGAAGGAAAGAGGGGAAATAAAGCATATCTGCAAATGAAACGTACGTACCTGGGAACTGATAACTGTAACTTGGGGCAAATCCAGGATATCCTCGGCCATATGTTGCAACAAAATTCGGGTAACCTTGATCACAGAAATGTAAAAAAAATAAAAAAGAGAGAGAGAAGTTTGAGGATTAATGAAGGGGTCTTTTGAAGGTTTTTTTTTTTTTGTTGGCTTGTTTTTTAACACAATGCACAACGACAGGGAGGATGGGTGAGACCTAATTTTACGGAGGGTATTAAAAAAATCAGATTTATTCTGCTCATGCCAAACTGCAGAGAGGTTTCATCATTACCCTGAATAGAAACATCTCGAGCTGGCTGGCCCAGCTCCGAGCAGGAGCCCTGTCACTCTGGTAATTAACATGCACTTTGGTGTCTGGAGCCCAAGGACTGTGCATACTTGTTAGCTGGAAGAGTAAATGCCAAATGCTAAGGCTAAACACATAACACGGGTTTGCTCTGACATTTGGAGAGCTTACAATGAATGTACTTTGCTTCAGAGCTATTGACAGTTGGAGATTAAGGTAGTAGTAATTCTTTATCCCGGGAGTGTGAAGGACAACAGTTAACACATCAAAGAGTTGGAGGCAGCAGCAGCAACGAGCCAGAGAGTCAAAGAGCTTTTAATTTTTCAGGAAAGTAAAAGGAAGCGCCCGGGCTGCTTCTGAAGGACCCTCTGAGGCAGAGCAGCCGACCTCGGGCAGCTTTGGGAGGTTTATCAGGAGAGAAGCTCACCTGAGAGCATTTCGTGGATAAGAACACGCAGTGAAAGTGGCAGCTCTGCTGCCTTCACTCTCCTGTGTGTGAAGGAACTGCTGGATGTCCCACTGACCCCTGGCCATGAGTGGGCAGCCAGCAGCCCTGGGCTCACACACTGTGCCCCCCCTGTTTCAACTTCCCCACAGCCATTCTCTGGTCCCACAGTGGCTATCTGCTCTGACCCGGATGGCCAATGTCCCAAGGTGTCCTGCACACTCGGGGGTTTCCTAAAATTCTAACCTCACATTGATCCTCAACATTTCCTCGCTCAGTTTTCTTAAAAACAGGCACCACCATGTGCAATTCCAGTGCACTGAACAGCACAGAACGAGCCTCAGCATCAGCCCAGGCCTCTCCAAACCCAGATCCCACCAGGAAAAGTTCTCTCCTGCTGTCTGAACTCAGTGGGGATCTTGGCAGCAGCTGGGCTGGAGCTGAGAACAGGCTCAATGTCTCTTCTGGGGGGCTCCTACCCTGCTTTTATTTATCCTGTAACACACCCATCCATCACTCAGCTGCCTTCCTGCTGCAGCAAGCCCCTCCATTTCCCATCAGATTTATACATACGTGCAGCGTACTATAAATCATAATCCAAAACTGGAAGATAAAAATGCTTGGATGAATTCTGATGATGGGATTAGGCAGAGGCAGCCTGGACAGCACGGCGCTCGGGATGTGTACACACTGCTTAGCCCTCCTCTCACAGCTCAACAGCTGGATTCCCTTAGAAATTAATCACCTCTGTCATTAAGTCAGATCTTTCAGAGTTAAGCTTTACAAACCCTTTTTCTTTTCTTTTTTTTTTTTTTTTAAAGCAACACTATTGATAAATGGATTCTTTGCTAAGTAAGCAGTGCCATTAACACCAGTGAAAAATCGTCCACTGCAGCCCCTCTCTCCTTGCCAAGAGGAGGAATTCAGTTTGCTGTGTTTCAGACCGTTCTGAAGCAGATGTGGCAGCTCACAACTGTCAGGGCACAGGGGCTGACGTTCTGAGCTCTGCAGGTGTGGTACCTGTGCCCCAGCCAGACCAGCACGGTGGGGGATGGAGCTGCCCACGGTGCTCTGGATGCCTCCTCTTCTGCTGCCTGCCCTGGAATGGTCCTGGCTCCGACCCCAGGGCAGCCCTGCTGTCCCTGGCCAAAGCTGGCTGTGCCTGGCAGCCCCAGCAGCAGCCAAGCTGCCCGGGGGCTCTGCTGGCACCGCCAGCACTCAGCGCGCTCAAAGTCAGGCAGATGAAATCATAAATTTATAATACAACATTACTTCAATTTTCCTCTTCATTTACTGCTGCAGTGCCCAGCTCTGCTCTAACGACTCGAAGCCTGATCCTCGTGGGGACACTGCCTGGCTGAATATCAATGGTGTTTAACACCACGCCTACGTGGATGCTTCATCAGGCCAAATGATCCCATGCTGACCTACCCAACGCTCCCATTAGGTGCCATCCTCATCCTGCACTGGGCACTGAGAAGCTGATTTGCCTTGGTAGTCCTGGGGAGTGACCAATCCCTTGTAAGTAAACCAAAAATCCAAGTTTTGACTGGATTTGCTCCTTCAAAGCAAGACTGTCCTGACCACAGAAGCAGAACTCAAACCAGCAGTCAAAGCACTTTCACACCATGGCTTCTACCCAGCTCCCGTCCAGGCTGTGGAAATGTCTTTTCATTTTAAAATTTGCTAATGGGGTGGACAAAAGCTCATGGTCAACATGTGGGAATGCTGAGCACATAGGAGCCAGGGGACCCGTGCAAAATTAGTCCAAATGCTCCAGAAAATGCAAGGAAGCTGTTGTCTCCAAATGTTGCTCTGAGTTGCAGCTGCTACTCCATTGAACAGTGTCTGGTGGAAAAAGGAATGACTTTCTTTGAAGGGCACAAGCTTCTCTAATGCATGAGCTCAGCCCACCTAGACTGAGCGTGAGCAGAACACAGAGCCCTGCCAGAGCCCTTCCCAAATCCGTGCTCCCACCACACATCCCTCCAGCACCGCGGGGTGTGAGCTTGGGGGGCTGAGAGCTTCCATCTCTGGAGGGGTTTGCAAGCTAAAATGAGCCCGATTTCAGCATTAAACACCAGGGTGATGCCCATCACCAAGAGAAATGCCAGCCCCAGCTCAAGGCAGGCAGTGCAGGGTCACCTCCAGAGCTGTGTGTCACCATTGTGGTGACTGCAGTGTCCCAGAGAGCAGCTTCAGATGAGAGGGGAGACAAAAACCATCTCCTCTTAACGTTGCTCCTCTGTTGCTCTCTTTTTTACAAGTTTCCAGGCACAGACCTGAACAGAGCACAAAAAGCTTTGGGGCAGTGCTGTGACACCCACATGCCCTTGGGTGACAGAGCTCCTGGTCTGCACCCCAGGCCAGGTGCCAGTGTGAGGCTCCAGGAACAGACAGAGTTTCTTGGTCACCAAAGTGTCACTCAGCCACAGAGGGGGGCACACAGGGCATCCAAGGGGCTGGGGAGCAGCTCTTCCTGCTGGCTGGGCTGACAGGGAGGGGAGTGGAACTGACTGCTCCACTCTTCATGCAGAGAGGCTCATTAAAGCCCTGCTCTCCCTGAGACCAGCGTGTCCCAGCAGCAGCCCGAGCCGTCCTGCCAGAAGGCTCAGCCTGCCCCCGCTCTCCCAGTCAAAAAATCCTTTCAGAACACTTTAATTTTGCTCCAATCAACCAAATCATCACAGAAGCGGCTGCCTGCGCACCTTTAGACCCTGGCTGCTGCAGGCTCCTTGGGGAGGCTGTGATTAATGAAAAAGACCAACTTCCTTAATAGCTTTGGAGGGAGTCGCTCCCCGCTCCTTCCTTGGGGTTGTCTCGCGCGTTCGTTCCTCTGATTCCCTCCTCTGCCCAGGAACAGCAGCTGGAGAAGGTGACCTTGAGCAAGGATTTCTGGAAACAGGTATGAAAACCCTTCCAGAGCAGCCTCAGTTGCTCTGGCTCAGTCCAGCTGGGCACGGAACAGAAGACACGGGGACAGACCTGACCTGGCCTCGTGAGTCCCCACAGAACGCTCAGCAGCAGCAGTGATGGAACTCGGTGTCTGATCATTTGATGGGTTAATTATGCCCCTCTTCCTGCAGGGATGGGCCCTGCAGCCTTTGAAACCGGGGCTTTCTGACGGCCATCCAGCAGCTCTGCTCTCCCGTGCTGCAATCTCCTTGTTTAGCACTTAATTATTTAACACGGTGCCACGGTAGCAAGCAGGAACTTGGAAGATGAAACACCAGCTCGAGTGGATAATGAAGCATCTGGCCTTCACCATGGATCAATCACCAATGCTCAGCCAGTCCCCCTGATGTGAAATGCAGGGAGAGCAGTGCAGGGCTGGCTGGGGTGCACTGGCCAGGGTGACCCCACTGCAGCAGGACCAAGAGGTGCCCCAGCTCCTCCTCTGTGCAGTCCCACTCCCTGAGGGCTGCTTCCCTCAACTCTCACAGCTTGAGAGGATCCTTTCCCAGACAGACAGCCCCAGTGGGAACGGACTCATGCTGCACCTGGGGGCTGAATTTTCCCTTCAGGACACTGGGGTGGATCCAGCTCCATGCCCTCTGTGCCCAGCTGCAAGGAAAAGGGCTGAGGCTGCATGGTGGAGGACGATGCCATGGATCTTTCTGGCTTCCAGGGTGACCTGCACCCTGTCCTCCTGCAGCCAGCAGGACAGGCAGCACGGTGGCACACAGGCCTCCCTCCACACCCCACCTCAGGCAGCACAGGAGGAAGAGGAACAGCAGAAATCAAGTACATTGGCTCAGGCACGCTGGGATCACACAGGTAACGAAATCACGGACTGACTAGAGCAAGATAAATATTTAAAGCATAAAATGTGATTTCCAAACACTCTGGGCCAGGGTGGTGGTGCAGTGTGGGGACAGCAAAACAGATGATCAGCTGCAATAACCTGATTACACATCCCAGAAATGGATAGCTCCAGCCACACCAACAGAAGCACTATTAATTCTGAGATAAAGTAAACATGGCAGAAGCTCTTCCTATCAAATCAAGCAGTGCCTCGGGTCAGACACCTCAGAGTAACAGCCTGATCCCTGCAGGAACGGGGTCCCTCTGACCTGACACCACCCTGGGGGCTCTGGGGTCCTCCAGCATCTCAGCCAGCCCCCGAATCTGCTCAGCAGAGCTCGGGGCAGCCCAGAGCCCAAGGCTGGGCTTGGTGCTCGGTTCCTGAAATCATCGAAACCCTGGACAGGAAAATCAAAGCCTCCTGAAGGGGATACTGGCCTGGGAAAGGCTCACTGCTGCCTGGGGACACTCCACATTGCCCTCCCACTCCCACAGGCTTCATGGGCACAGGAGCTGACAACTGAGGGGAAGTCCAGGGATACAAAGGGAGCAGAAAGTTTAAAATATACGGTGTTTTACAAAAAAACCACTGGCAATGGATTAGCAGCATTTTGGCTGGGAGAACAGAGTATCTGGGGTTGTCACATTATTTAGAAAGAATTATCTAGGCAGAAACAAATGAGAACCAATTATAACTAAATAGACCCCGTGCACAAATAGGAATTTGCCATTAAATATCATTTATCCCATTTAATTAGTATTTTCTGGACACAATACTCAGGACTAAAATACCATTCCATCTCCTTGAAACTTGTAATTATTGTTGCGACCTGTCCTGTTACGCATCCCTCCACTTCCTCCATCCATGCCATTTAAGAACCAGCAAGATTTTCAATTATCTATGCTGAACTGTCAAAGCTACCTTTAAAAGAAGGGGAATAATGTGTGACTCAATTCCTCTAAAAAAGGGGAGAGATCATTTTTAGTCAGAATGAACACACTGCATCTTTCATCATTCTATTTTTGCGAGTAAGAGTAAAACAGGCTATTTAAAACATCCATTTAAATGCAAATTTTTTTATATTCCAGGCTGGGGTGGGGGGGGGAAGTTAATCATTTACCACAGACAGGATTATTTTCTTCACTCCACCCCTGTTAAAAGTTTCAGCCTGGCACCCACACAGGCGCAGGGATTTGCTCACCCCTGTCCCAGGGTTGAAATGAGGGACACGAGGCAGTGAGTGGTGGCTGTGCACTTACCCAACATTCCCATCCCTAGCATGAAGGCGTCCATGGTGTACGGCAATCCACGTGCCCTCCCTCTCGTCCCTGGTGGAAACATCACTTCTTTAGGTTGTGCTTTCTTACATTCTACCTATTGAGCAGAAACACGTACAAATGAGATGCAAATGAATTCCATGTAAATGTCAAATGCAGAAGTGATCTACTTAAGGGGGGGAGGTTTATTTTTAGCATCTGCCTCCCCACACCTCCTCCCGCTCAAAGGTGAACTTCCAGAATAGCGTAACCAGATTTGAAAGAGCAAACGTGTGCGTCTCTTTAACCACCCACTGCAGCCCCCAAAGATGACAGAAGTGCTGATTTAAGAAGTTCTGTGCTCCTGAAAGGGAACCCAGCACTAGTGGGAGCGGGATGAATGGAGGGAGGGCTCCAGCACGGCTCCTCTGCAATCGATAACAGAGAACGACTCCCAGTGATCATTACAAAAAGCTCCTTTTAAAATAGGAATAAAGAATCAATATTTCTACCCAGCAGAAAATTTCTGTAAACCCTATTAATAAAGGATCTGCATTCTTTCACTTTCAGTTACTCCTGCTGCCTTGGGAAGTTGCTCAGTGCCACTGGAACCTCGTGGTGATTCCACCAATGCCCTGTGAGAGAGCAGCCCAGCCTGCTGCCAGGGGGACACCCAGGGCCCCCAGCCAGCCTCTTTCTCCCAGGAAAAAGGAGAAACTCAGCACTTCTCCATGGTTTCTTGCTCAGGCACTGTCATCTCACCCCCCAGCAGACAGCTCCTGTGCTCTCCTTGGCACTGGTGCTACAGCTGCCCCAGTCAGATGGTTTGGGGTTAACTGGAGCTGTCCTAGCCCGTTCCTGTGGCTCCACAGCTCAGCCCACGCTCTGAGCAGGAGGGTGATGTGCACTGGTGCAGCCCAGCACTGCAGGGGCTGCAGGCTGAATCCACAGGTTTGGGCTTTGTGCCTCTAACTTTGTTCTGATTTTTAACCAGAGTGTCATTTAACAAGATGATTCCTCCAGTCAGATGAAGGGGGGAGCACCAGAAGTGTGTCATGTCACTTCGTTTCACAGCCACATCTTCTGGGAGGGCCACTGCTCCCAGAGTCACAGCAGCATTGGTTACACCTCGGGTGCTGCAGTCAGGATGACAGAACCCATCCAGCCTGGATGGATGGACAATTAACAGGGAAATGAAGTTTGGATTAGCACCCCTAGAAACAAGAAGCTGGTAATTAGCTTTTGCAACTGCTGCTCTCTGTGAGCCTGGCACCGCTTCTGATTTCCACAGCACACGGGGGTACAAAGGGAATGGCAGTGAGCTGCAGAGGGGCTTCAACCAGGATTAAACAGGAAGCAAAAGTCACCAGCAGGAAAGAAAAATAATTCCTAAGCCTCTGTAAACAAATATACCCCATGTGAAGGGCAAGAAGATGCTCTGTTATCCAGACAGACTCTCTCTCCACGGGAGGGATGACATGTGGGGTACAGGACTGGGAGTGGGGACTCTGCTGTCCTGGAGGGAGACTGCCTGACCCCAGCCCTGCCAGCTCGTCCCCAGGGACTGTCACACTGCCAGGCACCAGGGCCACACCACCAGGTGTTTTGGGAAGCTGCCCATGCACCATCCCATCAGCAAACTGGGACAGTGTGGGAACAGGAGTGAAGAACCACAGCATGGATACACTGGGGGCCTGCGTGGTGCCTCTTCATCAGCAGCAAAAGCAGAAAGAAAAGGGGCCTGGCTGCTCTTCTGCCAGAATCCAGCCCTGTCCTTACAGGGAAGGGGATGGAGAAGGCCAGAACCATTCCAAAGCCACATTTACCTCAAGGGGAGGTAACACACGTGTGACAGGACATGCAATGGGGCTTCTCCAAGAGGAAATGTAGATGGATTTATGAGTCAGGACTCAGCTCCATACTGAATTGAGAGTGCCTGATAAGGGTCTTTGTACACACATCTGGACCTCACTCAAACTTTCAATTCAGAGTTTCTGGGCATCTTAATAATTTCCAGATTTTTCCACCTCCTCGTACGAGGATGTGCTACACTTTCAGCAGCCCAACAAAGAAAGGTTTAACTCTAAGGCTAAAAAAAAAAATAAAAGAAAAAAAAAGGCAGGGAAACTAAAATTCACTATTTTTGTTTAGTCTAGTTTGGAGAATTAACCTTGCACTGGGGTACTCCTGGGTCAAGCAGAGCAGTCTCAGCCACAGGAACCCAGGAGGGCTGAGCTGGGGAGTGAAAAGCCTCTTATACCCAGCACAACAAAACAGGCTGTCAGCCCTCAGCCCAGGATGTCTCACAAACCCCTGCTTAACAGCTTTCCAGGGAAAGCAGGGCTATTTTGAGGAGAGCAGAATGTGAATACCCACAATGCACAAGCCCCCATTGAGCCAGGCAAAGACAAGGAGACTTTGTTGTGCCAGCCACGTGTGATTCCCAGCCTGGGGGGCTCCGATCACCTTGGGGACAACGTGTCACTCACACCATGGCCAGCCACACCAGGCAGCAGCAGAGAGGTTTTCAGCTTATTTAAAAAAACCCACTGAGTTGTGGGTCTGTTGATCCACCACATTATTGATCAGTGGCTGGGGCTTGGAATTAAAGGGTCAGGAACAGGCCATGGCACAGGGTGCCCAGAGAAGCTGTGGCTGCCCCATCCCTGGCAGTGCCCAAGGCCCACAAAAGCTGCAAAATCCCACCCTGAGAGGGAGGAAGGGTCACAGGTGCTGGGCAGTGTCACAGCCTGTTCTAGAACAGCCAAGATTTCTGTCAGCTGCTCGAGAGCCTGACAATGGACCTTGACTGCAGGCTCAGCTCATCACCCCCTCACCAGGATGTGAGAGACTCCACCACAGTGGGACTAAGGGAAAGGAATCACTCCATCACATTTCTTTTCCAGCCACTTTTACTTTTCCTTAGAAAAACAGGTGTCTCTTTGCAAAGCAGCCTGCTCCTGTCAAAAGAACAACAGCCTGAGGACAGCTTGTTTGGGTTTATTGTCCCCCTGCAATGTTTGGAGCATCTCTGGCCTCCCACGTAAATTCCAACTTCCATTTATTAAATACCTCGCTGGCATTTTCTTTTCACTGTCCTACTGCTCGTTTAATATTACATTTGACATTCTAAGCTTTATGGATGGCAACAGAAGCAGAATGGATGAGCTAAAAATAGCCTGCCAGGGAGGCTGGAGCTGGAAATAGGCTGGGGAGCAGCCCTGTGCCCTGCGCCTGCCCCCGTGCCCGCGACACGGCCAGGAGAGGAGCAGCGAGCTCGGGGCCAGCCCAGGGCTGAGCGTGTCCCTGCTGAGCTCTGGGCATGGGACAGGGATGGGGACAGGGATGGGGACACAGGGAGGGATGGGATAGGGACATGGGCAGGGATGGGGACAGGGATGGGACAGGGACACAGGCACGGATGGGGACAGACAGACAGGGATGAGGACAGGGACACAGGCAGGGACACAGGCAGGTATGGGGACAGTGATGGGACAGGGACACGGGCAGGGATGGGGATGAGGGCAGGGTGTCCCAGTCCCAGCCCACCAAGCCACTGCAAAGCCCAAGGCCCCGGGCTGGGGCTGTGAGATCCAGTCTCCTCCACGGCTCAGGGACACAGGGGGACACAATCCCCGTGTGACACGGCCCCAGCAGTGCCCCCAGGCCAGCTGTGTGTCATTCCCAGCCCAGTCACAGGCACACACAGCTCCCTGGCAGCAGGGCAGTGACTCAGTCCCAAGACAGGACCGTGTCTCATCCCTCGCTCGTGGGCTGCTTTCAGCAGCAGTGCTGAAGAGTGCCATGAAGGGAACACCGGGAGATGGTGGCACCTGGAGGGGGCACTGAGCGGGCACAGGAGTGGGAAGGGGATATTTTAATTACCCAACAACAAACACCAACACTCAAAACTGTTTCTCTTGCTCTTTCTGACGTTCCTGGAGTGTTTTCAGCCTGTCCCATCCTCCATGCTCCCTGCTACCTCCCTGGGCAGCCTTCCACCTGGGAAGGAATCCTCCCACGAGCTCTGTGCTATTCCTCCCCTCCCAGGAGATGCCAAGAGCCAGGTGAGGCTTTTCCAGCCCAGGGGTGCAGGGATGAAGCACCAAACACTGTCCCTGCCTGGGCTCACCAGCACCTGCTGCTGCCCCAGGGCAACCCTGAGCCCTGCTCCAGGGAAAAGCCTGTTGTGGGGAATAACTAAACCTGTGCAGTGTGCCCTCCTGCTGTGGATAGCAAAACCCTGGAGGGGAGCTCTTCCCTCCCACCTGGCAATCCCTAAATTTACATCCCCAGTGTTTCCCAGTTGTTTCTAACTTGTCATGGGGTCTGTTGTGTGGGGGTGGCTGGGGTTCGTTCTGTTCCTTTGTTTTGAGGCAGATTAACAGCATTTAGAAATTATTTTAAGGGAATGAGCCTCCTCCCACCCCAGAGGCTCTCAGGTGAGGCTCTGGGGGGACAGGCAGGAGACCCCAGGGCAGGAGGGGCTGGGGGCAATAGGACAGGCAGAGTCCACAGCATCTGTGTGGAGTGGAGCAAGAGACTTCCCACAGGAGCAGGAGCACTGCCCCAGCCCTGCCCACCACCCCACCCCACACTTGGCCAAGGGGACCCTCACTTTTATTTCAGATGCATATTGCAGGGAGCAACAATATGAGGAATATTATTTCAGTACCCTGGGAAAAATTAGCAAGTCAAATATTGAATCAGGCCTCCAGCATATGCCAAGGAGATTGCTTTGATCTTATCCACACTAAAAGCTCTATTATTAAATTTAAAGTCTGTGAACACATATCAGACCGATATACAATGCATATCTGAATACACATGTGAGAAGCAAAGGATGTTTTGACAAAGGGAAAAAGAATATTTTAGCCCAAAATATCAAAGTTACTGCAGCAATTGAAATACAAATGGCCCTTTTCATCTGGCTCAGGGCAACCCACAACCTGGGACCCGCCTGTCACTGAGGAGGAACTTCAGCTGGGCTCTCTGCTCGGGAGCTGAACTCACACCCTCCCCGAGCCTTGGGTTTCTCACAGCCAGAGCTGCTCTGGGGGGGCACAGCAGGGGCTGGGCCAGCTGCCCCAGAGCACCCACACAACGGGGCACCAACACTCACCATTTTATTATTGATTTCGTGGAAATGAATTTCACAGACTTTCTCCACCACGTCTTCGTTTTCAAAAGTTACGAAGCCAAATCCTATTTAATAAAGACACAAAAAGGGGAGGGGTAAGGAAAACATTAGTTAAGTGTGACAATTTCGTTCTAGTAAAGCATTATTTAGCCATTGGGACTTTGGAAAACTTCCATAACAACACACATGTGTGGCTACACCTGCTGCCTGTGGAGCTGCTCCTGAGCTTATTGCAGCCTAATGGAGGGAAGAAGCATTGTCTCAGGGAAAATTAATACTGTTCTGTTCCAGCTCTTCCATAGGATTTAATGGAGAATTAAAACCTCCTTATGGATTTTTTGATCCATCCTGCAGAATTTAATGGATAGTTACACCCCAGTTACATGATGGCTCGGAAACTACAATAAGGCTGTATTTTCTTTTACACCTTATAGGTTTTTAAGAGCAATCTCTACAAAACCCAATTATATTTCTATGGAACCATATTGATTTCATCTCTTGTTTAATTCCAGGGGACTTCTCCATTAGAGCTGACTCATTACACGACCCAAAAACCATAAAAATCTGGGAAGACAGAAGATGATTCCTCATTTACCCCTGGCAAGGAGAAAAACCCCAGTGCTTCCCAAACACAGCAGCACTCTGTGTTATGTGTGCTCTGCCTGTGCAGGGTCAGCCCCGCTCCGGAGGTGGTTATTTGTCCCTTTCTTCCTGAATTACTTCCTCTAATACCTCATCAGGACATCCTGAGGCCTCCAGGAACCCATTAAGCTTAAGGCCTCTGATCTAATGGTTCCTCTCTTCTCCACTGCTGCTTCAAAGAGCCGAGGATTTGGGCTGCTTTGGGCTGTTTGATGCCTGCTGCCTGCCTGTGGCTGTGCACTGAGCCTGCTCTGCTGGGGCTGCACTGGCAGCCCACCCTGCTCCTGCTCCTGCCTGAACAAAAAACCTCAGGCTAACGAACAAAACCCAGTTCATGTGCTGGAGAAGGCTCGATTAATTACACTAATGAAACCTAAGGACTGTGCTAAGAGGATGAACTCCATCCCCACACTGGTGAAGCACTGCACAGGGACAGGGCCAGCCCCAGTGCAGCCCTGCCTCTGGATGAAGAGCAAAGTGCATTTCCAACTGAGCAGCTCCTCTGCAGTAGCTGCAGCCGTGGGGAATGCTCCCATTCCACTTCAGACCCTCTCACTGGGGGAAAGATGGCCAGGAATGGTTTCCAGCCCTCCTCCAAGGCTTAACCCAGCACCAGGCTCACCACACTGCTCTGCACCGAGAGCAGGCAGCAGCTTGAATTTTTTTACATAACTCACGTCTTTCATTTGCCTTCTAAATTACTCCATTTAAATCTACCTTAAACAGACCTGCAGTTAAACCCAGAATTTTTGCGGCTGACTGCCTGAATGTGGCATCCCAGGAATCCCAGAGCTGGGAGCAAAGCCTGGCTGGACCAGGGAGGAGATGGCCGGGCTGGGGCTACAAGTCATTAATTGTTTGAGCACCAGCAACATCTTCATCATTAGCAGCTCATTAGCGAGTGCTGCAGTTTGAGGATTCCTCTTTCAACTCGTGTTAGGTCTCGGTGCCAGGATGGAGGGGAGAGGGAATTTAGGAGATTAGCCCTAATATGAACACCACGAGGAAGCCGCTGCAGTCCTTATGTGTCTGGACTTGGAAACAAATCTCCCATTCTCATCCCACTCCATATGGCTTAAGCACAGGTTTATCAAGAAATTATTTGTCTGATTAAATCAGACGGCCGCCCAGCTCTCTGCATTTCCAGATTTTACAACAATAAAACAACAACGTGTAGGTGTTAGCAGGCATTTGCAGGGTTCTGAAAGATCCGTGGCACTTGGTCAGGCTGGCCTGGAGAGGAAAATGAGAGGAAGGAAAAGCAGAGGTGACCTCTGCAATGCCCAACACCTCAAACTCACTGGGAGCAACCAGAGGATTTCCACCTGCAGGCACACATCACTAAAATTCCTCCCTGGAGGGTGGAAAGGGCCTGGAGCAACTTGGGACAGCCGAAGGTGTCCCTGCCATGGTTCCTTCCAACCCAAACCACTCTGTGATTCTTTTCCTGTTCCTCTTTTTGGGTTTCAAATTCCAAGTTTTAATAACTGCACCCACACAAAGATCCCCCTGCACACATGCTCTTATTAGCTCCCATAATGAATACACGCTCATATTTAAACTACCAAAACTCTCAGCAACCTTCCTGGGCTAAACAGACAATTATTTCTTCTGAGAGGTACTAAGAGTCAACAAAAAACTGGTTCTCAGAAAGTGTATGGAAAAGATTAACCCAAAACAAAGGCGGCTGTTGAAAACGGTGACAGAAATAGGATTCTGGTTGTCAAGGAGCACACGTTTTAAAATGAAATTATACTGCATCCTTCTGAATGAAGCTATTATTGGAAGCTAACAAGCTCTATTTAAGAGATAAGCATTTAACAGAGTCAAACGGTTGGGTTTTTTATTCAAATGAATAAAACTGAATATTCATTTGAATAATCTTTTCTGTAAAAGAAAAGACAAAGAAGAGGGAGAAAAATAAAGTAAGAGGCAAACAGATGCCCCAAACGAGAGGCTCTGAGCCAAGCACCAGCACTAAAGGAAGCTGAGACATGTATCCATGACCTTCAGGTGAAAAACCCTCCTCTGGTATCTGCTGGGAATGAGGAGTTATTCCACTCCATTCATCTGCTGGTTCATGGGCACCACCAGGCACAAAACGATGCCAGCCCAGACACCTGGCATCCAATGGTGCAGGACACGACCTCCAACACACCATGACACCAGAAAAAAGAAGATTTCAGGAAGATACTGCTCAGAGAAAGGGACTGAAACCACAACAAAATTAAAATACTGTAGAAGAATAGTCAGAAGCCATAAATACTGTTAAGAAGCCAGACTGAAGATACCAAATGTCAGGACTCCCCCTGCTCTGTGTTTTGGTTTTTTTCACACTCTAACCAGCTACATTTCACACTTTTGTCATCACTTGAGAGTTTTTACATCAAACTTGGTAAAAGACAGCCGAGATGACGACACCACAGCTACGAAATGCATCTCCTTCCCCGGGCTGGCAGCACTGCTACAGCCCCAGGTGAGGCTGCACAGTGATCTGTGTCACAGCTGTGGCTGCCACCCAGGGACCTCACTGCCTGGCAGAATTACACCAAAGCACCTTACCTGGGGGTAAAGGTCTCACTGCCAAACCCCTGCTTGCCTTGCAACCAGCAAAACAAGGTGATTGCATCACAGCACAGAGCTTAAACCCAGGCTGATGCTGGGTTAACCCTGCAGGGCTCTGATGGGCAGAGCAGGACCCTCCTCAGCCCCCAGCCAGGGCAATGCCACAGGTACAGCACCTCCATCAGCACCTGGTGCCTGAGCCAAAGCCAGCTCACCAGGCAGGCACAGCCCAAGGGGCTCTCCAGCCACCTGGAAGATGCTCTGTGGGTGAAGACACTGCAACTGGTGCCTGTTTTAAGTCCCAAGCTGTCTGGAGGCCACCTGGTGATGTGGAGCAAGTCACTCAATCTCTGCTGCGCTGCCTGAGCCCGAGCTGTGCCCACACTGCTGGTGAGCCTGCAGCTGGGACAGCCTCATCCTGCACTCACAGCAACCACAGAGCTCCTGGAAATATTCTGGCAACCAGGGGATCACCAGGGCTCTTTTGCCCTGCACAGCAATCCCAAAGAACAAGGGCAGGGGACAGGAGCAGGGAGAGGACAAAGGAGGAAATTTCCACACCCTGACCACACCAACAGGGCTCTGCCTGAACCTGGCTCCTGCTGCCCAGCAAGAACCACCCCACAGGCACTTGTGAGAGCAGGGTGAGCCCCCCTCTCACACAGAGTGCTCCACAGAACCACCCTGCTCCTGACCCCCACCCATGCAGTGCTGGGACGGGTCCCTGGGGTCCCTGAAGTCCCTGGGGTCCTTGATGTCCCTGGAGTCCCTGATGTCCCTGAAGTCCCCGGGGTCCCTGATGTCCCTGGGGTCCTTGATGTCCCTGACGTCCCTGGAGTCCCTGATGTCTCTGGAGTCCCTGGGGTCCCTGATGTCCCTGGGGTCCCTGATGTCCCTGGAGTCCCTGATGTCCCTGGAGTCCCTGAAGTCCCTGGGGTCCTTGAAGTCCCTGATGTCCCTGGGGTCCCTGGGGTCCCTGATGTCCCTGGAGTCCCTGATGTCCCTGGAGTCCCTGATGTTCCTGGAGTCCCTGATGTCCCTGATGTCCCTGATGTTCCTGATGTCCCTGGAGTCCCTGATGTCCCTGGGGTCCCTGAAGTCCCTGGGGTCCTTGATTTCCCTGGAGTCCCTGGAGTCCCTGATGTCCCTGGAGTCCCTGATGTCCCTGGGGTCCCTGATGTCCCTGGGGTCCCTGATGTCCCTGGGGTCCCTGAAGTCCCTGGGGTCCTTGATGTCCCTGGAGTCCCTGATGTCCCTGGAGTCCCTGAAGTCCCTGGGGTCCTTGATGTCCCTGGAGTCCCTGGAGTCCCTGATGTTCCTGGAGTCCCTGATGTCCCTGATGTTCCTGATCCCTCCAGCCCTGCCATGGGAGCTGCCCAAGGAGTGGCTGTGCTGCCAGATGGGGACATCCATCCTGACACCCCCCAGCAGATTCATCAGGAAACAGCAGCTCAGGCTGTGCTCCCCCTCTGTGCCAGGGCTCCGCTCGCCGCCTCTGCTCCGCTCCTCGGATCTCAGCTACTTAAGCTCTGAAAGGCAGAAAAGTCCAGTCCTGCTGTGGTATTATTTATGCACCTGCTTTCTTGTTTATACCCATAGTTTTGGCAGCTGGTCCTGTGAAAGGTAATAAAATGCCTTTCAAAAGTAAAAAAAAAAAAAAAAAAAATTAAAAATGAAGAAATGTGACCAGACAAGCCAGGCATAATAACATTAAAGCCCGTGTCAATTAATTTTTCCTCTTCTTGATAAACGAGCCCCATTCCATCCATTAATAATGAGGGAAGAAACAAGAAAAGTTGACACTAGTTTAATTTATTTTCTCAACTTGCCTGGTCATATTTCTCCCTGTTGCAAAGCT